CAAAAATGCGCAGGCATTCATGCGTCTCTTTATTCTGTATTCCATGCCACGAAGAGTGTCTAGATCTGCGAATAGACTGGCGCGCAAGTCTGGATGGACGCGGCCAGCTCGGGTCTGGATTGTGGTATCAATGGAATGTAGCCATGACTCGCTGACATCTGCGAGACTAGGGAGATATGAATGGGAGAGCGCGTCAGGACAGAGTAGGATACGCACCTAGTCTTTGCAACAAAGGAAGACATGGTGGTGTGCGGCTAGTGGGACGACGGGCGAAGCTGACACTGACGTTACGTACGTACTGTATACATTCGTCAGAAGTAAGATGACGTCACATGATCCTCACCACACAATGCATCCCGACGCGTCGAGAAACTTGAACGAGCCCAAGCCTTGGTCTCCTTCCCTGAAGACCCTCTCTCCCTTCACTTGCTTTATCTACGTCTAGCTTAGCAATGGAGGTCGACAATAACTCAAGGATGCACATGGAGAACTCTGGGAACTACACCATTCTTCGTATCAAGAGGAAGCGAACAGACGAGCCTCTTGATGCGCTCGGTAAGTCCCACCGCAATGTAGGCCGCTCAGCCTGACATACCGTTTGTCACAGTCATCGATGGAAAGGTTAGGCGGAAGAAGTCTAAGGGAGGGCTAGACATGTTTCGGTTTGCAGAAACTGTCGAGGAGGCGGCTTGGGATGATGAACAACGAACGAAAGATCTTCAAGTTTGTGGCACTCCCGGAATGAGGCACGGTTGCTTGAGTGATATGTCCGTAGGAACGCATCTCCGCTTTGGCTCGTGCCGAACATCAAGCTGCTGGATCCAAACAAGCAGCTTCTTCATCGTCGACCACACCTTCACGAACAGCCTCGACACACCCGCGGCAGTACAGAATCGTGCCGCACGAAGCGGACACTGCAACAGACGCTCGTGGATCGTCAGTTCTTCGCTCATTTATCAAGTCTCTCCATGACCGCTATTTAGACCGAAACTCAGGACTGTAGGCGAGCCCGAACAACAAAAGGCGCACGATTTCCGGATGTTCGACGCGGTGCCGATGGCGGCGGGGACTGTCGCGCCTGTCTCGCCTGTCTCGCAGGAGGACCCCGAGATGGAGAACTTCTTGCCTCTCTTGCAGGCCTATCTGAAAGGTCAGGGACGCATGCATTGGTGCCAACAAGCGTTACTGAACGACCATGTCTAGTTAACGATATAGAGCCTGTTGCAGACCATTCAACTGCCCGGGCCCCATTCAACCTCGCGGTGACGCCTCCGGCTCTCTCCCCTCCCCGCGTTCACCCGAACGAACCACAGCTTTCTCACATTCCTACTCCCGGGGAGCCCGTCGTAGTACATGCACCTGCTCCACCTCTGCCGACTGACGATCCCGAATACGTCTGGGATGTGTTCTATCACCAGGCTGGACTGGCCGACGATTACGAGGAGATGCCAAACGCGAACATCGGCACGCTGTATGTGAGCTTCTGTCTTCCTGTCTGATTGTCGTTTGAGCACTTTCAGGACGGGCCTCCCCGCGTCATTCGATGATCCTTTCTCATCTGACGAGGAGTCTGAGCCGGAAGACGAAGCCGATGAAGACTCCAATGGTAAGGCTATGACCGTTGATGTCTCGACGGCAACTGACAGTTACCTCAGCCGAGGAGTACTACAAGAATGACTACCCTGACGAGGAGAGTGACGATTCGGGCTATGATGACGATTCTAGCGGTGCACCTTGCCCTTTCTTCACCATAACTTGCTTCTCATTCGAACACCGCCAGATATATTCCACGAACATGCGGACCATGATGCCATCTCCCGAGATCCGGGCTCTGACGGCGGGGATGACTGGTAACAGGGCTATCGTCTTTCTATTGGTTTCCGTGCTGGCGGAGCTCTGACTTGTATACGATGATTTTTCCGAGGCAATTTGCACTAGCACGACCGCACGATTCGGCTGTTGACATAGGCGTCCTATGATGGGTGGACACGTTCATATAAATTAATACTAATAAATAAGCAACTAAAGTGACAGAGGGGGCTGTATGCTAGGTGCATGAAAGGATCGGTAAGTCGACCCTAAGCGAGGCGAACATAATTTATAGCCGCTGATTACTCGTAGATGTAGCATAGCAAACCGTCCGTGGTGTTCATGACGTCCCGAATGGTTGCTTGTTCGAACATGCCATCAGATGGCATAAGATAGTCGAGCTACAAGACGCTCAGACATCCGCTGTAACCGGAGCCGAAAAAAATCGACGCACATCTAGCATCGGCGCTGCGCCGCTGGGGTACTCGTCGTAGAAGCTGGCGTTGATGAATGACTGGTTCGCGCCGCCGACGTAGGCCCAAAAGTTGGATTCGTTGGCGTGCTGCCAATCGTACCAGACTTTGTCGACCATCTGCACGTATGCGTGAGCTTTGAAATCAACATTGCTTTTTATCGTTCTCTTACCGCATGGTGCATCCAAAACAGCGGCTCGTTCGCGGAGAATGTGGGACCGGGCGTGCAGTTGGCCGGAGCGCTGGCAGGGCACGAGCCACCCAGATCACTGCAAGCGCTACTTCAGCGCACGTTCGAAAGGAGCCATTCGGGTAATGCTCACCCGCCCATGATCAGGTGAACAGAGCCGTGCGGACCCTCTCCCCACTCCATCCACTGCTGGAATTTAGGGTAGTCGCCGACGAAACCGTTGATGCCCTCGCTGATTTTCTCGATAGTGAACGTAGTATTGGCATAGAGGGCAGGTTCCGGGAAGAGATCTAGACCAGCGAGCCCGAGGTATGGCTGGGCGGTGAAGTTGCGGCGGAGCGTGTGATAGGAGGGGTACGAGAGATTGAAGGTCGAGAAAGCGCCGTCCTGGACCTCGTAGTCCTTCGAAGGGTCTCCCCAGCCACCGAGACCGCTCGACGGATCGGAGTCGGACCAGAAGGGTGACTCAAAGAATTCAGTCGCGTCTACATGCAATCCGCGTCAGCGAGACGGATCGCACTGGTGACCGCGATCGCACTGACCCATCGACCAGTTCCAGTACGGAGAGACACCCGTGTAGTTGCACTTCTGCTGCAGCGCCGTCTCATATACCGTAACGTACCAACGGTGCCATGGAAGGAACAGACCCGTGAAGTGGATCTGGAGGAGGGGTAAGTACGCGATTGTCTCACGACAGCTAGCTGCTGCCACTAACCCTAGTGTTCAAGTCCATGTGCACGTACACAAAATCTGCGACAGCATCAATCGGCTTAACATTCAAGTATATGCTTCACGACACGAACCGTCGTAGTACGATCCGGACGCATTGATGGGTACTATTGACGACACCGATGGCGGGACCGTTGCGAACAAGTCCGGGTTATGGGGCAGATCGGACAGGCACTGGAGGCGAAGGGGTTCAGCGTCCCAGTGGACGCCAACACGGCCTTGGTACGTACCTTCACGGCGGAGATCCACTCGCTCTTCTCCTCCGTGGTAAATGTACGCCATTCCCTGCGCACGCTCGGATTTGTACAGTTGGCCGCGAAGACGGGAGATGCAAGAAGACCGAGAACAGTCGCAAGCGCGGAAGAGAAAAGCATGGCGAAGGGAAGAAAAAGAAAAGGCGCTAAAGGTCCCTGCGGGACCTGAGGCGGGCGATGCTGCATTTATAGCATTGTGTGTTCCCGTGTACAGGATTTCTTGGTATCTTAGAATGGGGAGTTCTGTTGTTTTATTAATGTCATCGTGCCGCTGATCGGTTTGCGAACCCAGATGTCGGGATCTTTTTGCTCCGATTCACTCGACCGCCTGCAGGAGGAGTGTGTACTGCGCCAACATATGATGACTGTATATGGACCAGGTCCGGTCGGCGAAATAATACTGTAAACCTCGCGCCTGTAGTCTTCGACATGCTTTCGTAGTTACCCGTAGTCTGTTCGGGCATTGGTTTGTGAAGAGCCCGTAACGACAGGCTTTTCTAGTCGCTCGCTTGAAGCCTTGTAATTGGCTAGACGGTGGAGAATGAACGCTGCAGGAAGCAAAGTGTCATCTCGAGACGACCATGAACACGGGGATAATCCAGCGCGATCTTGCTCAACTGAGACAGCGACTGCAGCAGCCTCCCGCCAATCGACGGCCCGCGAACACAAACTAACCTTCGTAATCACGTACAGCGGTTTTGGGGTGTCGCGGTCGTACTGCCGAGCCCGACGTCGACGCTGTATGTGCAGTGCGCCACGCGTCCGTGTGATCGGGCACAAATGCCTCTCGTTCTGTAAGGGTCTCAGCATCGCCAAATGCAGCATCTGCCCACTCAAATCGTGACCGGATCGTCAGCCGGCCCATGTGTGCCTGTGCCGTGCCAAATTGCGCTGTGCGGTACGCCCCAGACATCGATACTCGCCGTTCAACTCTGCGGTGCTTGTCCTGCGCGCCGCGACATGCAGCACTACCCTAACACCGCGGGAGTTCGCCGCTCGGACGGTCGCACGGGTCTCGTATAGCCCGTCCGAGGCTCGCGGGAAATCAAGCCAAGGCTCCTTCAGAGCAACTCTGGCTGTGATGGTCGTGCAGCGATTCCAGTACTGTAGACAGGACGAGCGCCCAGGCGATCTCATATTGCAGTGATCCAGCGCAATATCACCGTGTGGCAATGCATTTGCGGACCGTTGGGGCCGAAAGAGACCGGCAACGTCTCGTCCGGTCAGCAGCCCGGCGAATTGGTCGAGACAAAGAGTAGGATACGGTCCATAGGTCACGGTGAGAGTGAACACGATCTTGCAACCAACTTATCTTCAGGTTGAGGAAGCTGTCTGAAGCCTGACTAGGGCTTGAAGAGTATTGCAGATGGACGGCGTTACTCAGACCGCGCGATCGCATCCACGTAGGGTGGCATCAAACCAAGGCTGCCATCGATGTGTAGAAATCCGAAGAGCTTCGGCGTGTTATGATAGGAGCCATTGGCCTAGCCCCACAACAGCTAGTAGCTGGTAGGATGATAGATATTCTACGAGCAAATGCTGTTGTCGGGTATGGTGTAACGGCTAACATGGCTGCCTTTCATTTGATGTTTAGTGATCGCAGCAGCTCGGGGTTCGATTCCCCGTACCCGAGTAAGGAAGCATCCACACCTTCTGTTTTTTATCTCCCGACTCGGATTGCGGTACTAGTACTTTATACCTTGCTTTATACGTGAGCCATAAAGCTTTATGGCTCACGCTGCAGTCATACCCAACGAACCCATGCCAATACCTCGTCTATTCCCGCTCTTATCTTCCTGTCTCCTCCTACGCTCCTGTAAAAAGAACGCGACGATCGCCGCGTCGCGCGCCCCGACCGTGTGCACGTCCGAGAAGATGAGCTGCGCGGGCACCTGGACATGGGTTTCCTGCGGCCCGCGGAACGAGCGAAACGAGCGCTCGAAGCGTGCGACCGTCGCACCGGTCTGCCTGTCGTGCAGCTTTTAGGAGAGAGGGTGGAGAAAAAGGGCGTCGCAGAACAGGTGGGATGAGAGAACGGGCGCGTGCGATGCGGTGAGATACGTGCAGACGAGACGAATGGGAGGGCTCGCCTCGACGGTCCGGTTCGATGCGCCTTGCCGCCAACAATACGTATTCCCCTCGTCGTCCTCGAACCGCGCCCCCTCCCTGCGTCGATTGTGACATCAGATCGACCCGTGCCGGGCGCTGTGGGGTGCGAGGGGCGGCATGACGCACTTGGACGCGGCGTCGCCCTTCAGCCAGGCGCGGGCCGCGCGCGGCGGCCCGTCGCGGTAGGACAACACGTCGCCGCGGATGTCGCGCCACGCCCACTCCGCGAGGCGCGTGCCGGCGCCGTCGAGCACGCGCGAGGAGGGGTGCTTGCCGAAGTCTGTCGCGAGCACGTACGTGACGACACCGTGCTCATCACGCAGCGTCGTGTTGTACGCGTTGTCACTATCGAATGTGAGGGTTAGCGGTGGTGGCGGTGGCGGGGTTGGTGGTGGCGGCGCGTCGTCCATAGTATAGGGGGGCGGATCTAGGGGGGCTGCTGCTGTGCCAGCTGCTGGTGCAGTGACCATCGCTCTTATACTAGGAAGCCGCATCTGCGCGAAGAATGTCGATGCTATCCTGAGCTGCGCATCCCGCCTCTTACTGTCCTCTAAAGAAGTGTGTTGCTCTGCTATAAACAAAGCACGCGCCCCGGCAGCTGTCAGCCGCCATACAGGGGACGGTGCGGTCACAAGGGTTCGTTGCCTCCATCGAGCAAACCGAATACCTCCGAGCGGATTTACTGTACTGCGCGTGCTGAAGTACGTGGGAGACGCAGCAATCATTGGGGACCCACATTGTAATTTTTGAGGAAGCGCCCACAAGCAACAGAACATGAAAAATAAACGCTCGGAGAAACTTTTAGACCTCAGGTATAATTTCTAATGTCAAGAATAAGATACTGGGATAGTGGCCAAGTAGTGTACACTAGTAGATCGCAAAGCAACGTTGAGGTAAGGTCTATTAGCAAACACATAAACAACAGCATGGTTGCCAGACGTACCAAGTCTGCAGCAGGCATATGCGGGCGTCAAGCCGTGGTCGGTGACGGCAAGCTCGCGAACTGGACATCATTTGGGCTGACAGAAGTCGTAACCGGGTCGCCATGTTCGTAACCCCTGTGCCGATGCGGGGGTGTTGAGAGGGACGATGCTGGAGAGGCAGTGCTAGCCTATGCAGAGCCGTGTCGTATGAGCGGCATGCACCACGGATAAAGCAGAGCACTGCGTACCGTACAACGCGAAGCACGGTCAGAAAAATCCTCGAGCTGAAACTCCATAGGCTCTGGCGCGAGCGACGCCGCAATGGGCGTGCTGAAGAGCAGCTGGACCTTTTCCATGAAAGATGAGGAACGACGCGTCGTCTTGGTGGACATGACTGGGGATATGGGTGTAAGGTGCAAGGGGGTTCGCGAGGGAAGGCTTTGGTCGGGAAGGCAGGGCTAGCAAGACCGCCCCGAAGTGAGGGGCTTGTAATTATACAGCTCGGGGTTGCGGCGTTGAAAACATGAGAGGGGTCTCATCTCGGACGCGGTTCTTGGCGAAGAGTCTGGAGACCGAGCGCACTCGCACGCGCGTTGCTCCAGTGTGGAGTCCGGCCCCACGTGCCGGAAATGACCTCATCGTCTTTACCGGCCTTCTCCGGCCAGACGTCGCCTCGTCTGCTCCAGCCCCAGGGCCTCATCCAGCACCCCTCATCATCGCCGCCACTGTGAGATCTCAAATTCTCAAATTCCGCCTTACGAAAAACTGTGACGGCAAGGGTAAGAGCTTACTGGTCAACGCAGACTCCGTCCCGAAGCTTCGCGGCTGGTGAGTGGCGAGTCCCGGGCGCACCTGTGGAATCACCCTGAGTCGGACATTTGTCATGGAAGCTGTCGCACCAATTGTAATGAGCCAAGGAAGAGTGAACGGGACGGCCGAGACGAAGAGATCCGGTCATCTGGAAGCTGGGGTACGGTGGTGGGTGCGCGCCACCAGAGCATGCGAAGACAAGGGTACAGCGCGTTCTAATGGAGGGCTGCTCTAGGTACAATGACATGCGTCTATGAAAGTCCGGGATATCATACAGAAACGGGGGGGAAGGGGATAGCGAACAAGACTGCAGCGAAAAAAGCGAGAACGCACGTCGCGCGCGCGGCACGCGACGAAAAAGCTCCGACAGACCGTGGGATAGTGAACGGAAGGAAACTAGTACCGCAGGGCGACACGCTCGCGCTCGCGCTCCTCGGCGCGTTCACGCCACCGTCCGCCGCGGTATAGAACGAGCAAGAGGAGTACCTCGCAGACGATGACGAGGCCCGTCCAGAGCGAGTAGAGGCCGCCATCGCCGAGTGCATCCTGGAGAGGGACCGCGAGCTCGGCAAAGATGCACGCCGTCGCGCCACGGAAGAAGCTGTTGGTCGCCACGGCAGACGACGAGCGGCCCGTGTTCGCGTCGACGATGTATGCGAGGGTAGCGGAGTAGATCCAGCTGGAGGAGTGGATGAGAGGGAGGAGCTGCAAGTTTGTGAATAGTGCTCACATGGAAAAGAAGCCGGAGAAGAATAGCGCCACGCAGAGTGCGGCGACGTGAACGTGCTCCTGAGCGAGCCAGCCATAGGCGATAACGGGCAGCGGGAAGAACAGGAGAGCGCCTTTGGTGCTGACGAGGCGCGTCTCGGGGGAGCGCTTGCCGTCTTCCTTGAGCTTGTTGAGGACACGGTCCGACCATCGCCCGCCGAGGATGCTGCCTCCCATACTCCCTGTACGGTACGTCAGGCACACGACGGAGATGACTGGATGGGAGTTATCGTACCGATCCCGTAAGCCAGCAGAACGAGACCAGTCTGCAACGCATTATAGTTGTACTTGTCTTCTAGTGTCCGAGCGCAGGTGTAGCTGATACAGTAGCTAAAGCCGAAAATCAAACCTGGGTCACCATAAGCACGTGCAAGGCAGCGGGGCAACCTTCGATCGCGTACCAGAAGACGTCAGAATGAGAACGTTATTCCACCGGCGCAAGACCATCCAGAGGGGTGGGACCGGATTGACGTCGCGGATGGTGACCTTGACGTCCTCGACGGGCGGCGGCGGTGGCGAGGCGACGGCGACCTTGCTCACCTTCACGTCCTCCGACTTCTCGAGGCCCAGGTCGGAGCAGTCAGTCGCCGGCCTGTGCGCCATGGGCGGGCGCGTCACCGGCTCGACAACGAGCGTGGCCATGCTCGACCTCTTCGAGGACGCGAGTGCGCGTTGGCGCTGGAGGATGTGGCGGCGGAGGACGGACTGGTAGGTGAGGCTACGCTCGCGGCGGTACGTGTCCTTGAAGAGGAAGAGGAACATGAAGAGGCAGAGGCCCATCCAGATGAATAGGAACCAGAACGTTGCGCGCCAGCTCAGGTACTGCGTCAGCACGCCGCCAAGGATTGGGCCCAGCGACGGCCCCAGCAGAGGCGCGGCGTAATAGATGCCCATCTTCGTTCCCCGCTCGAGCGGGTCGTAGATATCGGCCAGCGTCGCGGCGCCGATCGAGAGTACGGCGGACGAGCCCAAGCCTTGGAAGCATCGCATGCCAATCAGGACGCCGATGGACTTTGAGAGAGCTGCGACGAGCGCGCCGACCATTGCGATGCATATGGAAATGAGGTAGACGATCTCCGCGAGTCGGGTCGGTCAAGAAGGAATAGGGCAGGAGATGCATGCACACCTTCCGGCCCTTGAGTTCGCTGGTGACGCTCCAGAAGAGCGGAAGGGTACCCTGGATTAAAATGAATAGTGCCAGCGAGAGACTGATATCCCCATCAGACGCATGGAGGTCCCTCTTTATGTCGGTGATACCAGCTGAGCGAGGCCATCAGCGTCGTGGCCGATAGAGGTGTTAAACGGTGGCCTCACGGTTATAGATGTTAGCGGCGAGGCCGGCAATGAATGCAGCGCTGGAGATTATAAACAGTATAAGGTTCTGTCACGAGTCCATGGGTTAGACCAATTGGAAGGTCTCGATGTGACTCGACGGTCTTACCTTTCTAGCGGAGGACCACATTCGGGGGTCGTCGGAAACCTCTTGGTGCTCGATATCAGGAAGCTCGGCCTTCTCAGGCTGCACTTCAACCTGTGTGAGCGATTTGGCATTGGCCTCGTGAAGGGTCGTGGCTGGCAGCGTTGGCACAATCGCAGTGGTCGTCAAGTTCGTACTACTCGGGCCATGCATAGTGCCCGCCGTGGCCGTCGAGAGTGGGCTCGTCGTCATGGGTCGCAGCGCAGGTTAGGCAACTCCGGTAAGAGAAACCCGGAAAGTGTAGGGGTCTGTTGGCTAACTCCCTCGACAGACCCCCGTATATATGGAGCAGAAAAAAACATGTCTTATCGGTCATAGTGGACCAGTGAGGCCGGTGAGGGAGCGCACGCGGGCGTGGGGGCTGGTCATGGTTGTGCCGAAAGTTGTCGGATCGTGTCGCTTCGCATCGGCCGTGCCCTCCAGCGTCGGCAAGACGCGCCTCGGTCGCGCACTTGCCTTACCCCCGCCTCGCCCCGTAGACCCTGCTAAAGCGATAGTCCTGACCGACAGGACTGCGGACATGCCCTTGTCGTTCGTTTGTCAATG